TCACCCAGCGCTGGTTTCTCCCCCCCCAGCTGACGGCCACGGGGCCCGGGCGCCGCCGGGTGCGGGCCATGGGCACCTACGTGGTGCTGCGGGAGCTGCACGGCTGGGAGCAGCACCCCGGGGTGCGGGCGGCCTGCGAGCGCCTCCTGCAGGTGAGCGGCGGGACTGCACCCCCCGGCATGGGCCTTCCTCCCGCTCCTCATCCCCAGAGCCTGCCCCTGCCCAGAGCCTTCCTGGAGCCTTCCTCCTCCCACTCCTCATCCCCAGAGCCTTCCTGGAGCCTTCCTCCTCCTGCCCCCTGCCCAGAGCCTTCCTGGAGCCTTCCTCCTGCCTCCTGCCCAGAGCCTTCCTCCTGCTCTGCCACCTGGAGCCTTCCTCCTCCTGGCCCCTTTCCTGGAGCCTTCCTCTTCCTCACCCACTCATCCCCCTGGAGCCTTCCTCTTCCTCACCCCCCTGGAGCCTTCCTCTTCCTCACCCCTTCACCCTCCTGGAGCCTTCCTCTTCCTCACCCCTTCACCCTCCTGGAGCCTTCCTCTTCCTCACCCCTTCACCCTCCTGGAGCCTTCCTCTTCCTCACCCCCTCACCCTCCTGGAGCCTTCCTCTTCCTCACCTCCTCACCCCCCTGGAGCCTTCCTCTTCCTCACCCCCTCACCCCCCTGGAGCCTTCCTCTTCCTCACCCACTCACCCCCCTGGAGCCTTCCTCTTCCTCACCCCCTCACCCCCCTGGAGCCTTCCTCTTCCTCCCCCCCTCACCCCCCTGGAGCCTTCCTCTTCCTCACCCCCTCTCCCCTGGAGCCTTCCTCTTCCTCACCCCCCTGGAGCCTTCTTCTTCCTCACCCCCTCACCCCCCTGGAGCCTTCCTCTTCCTCACCCCCTCACCCCCCTGGAGCCTTCCTCTTCCTCACCCCCTCACCCCCCTGGAGCCTTCCTCTTCCTCACCCCCTCACCCCCCTGGAGCCTTCCTCTTCCTCACCCCCTCACCCCCCTGGAGCCTTCCTCTTCCTCTCCCCCCTGGAGCCTTCCTCTTCCTCTCCCCCCTGGAGCCTTCCTCTTCCTCCCCCCGTCACCCCCCTGGAGCCTTCCTCTTCCTCACCCACTCACTCTCCTGGAGCCTTCCTCACCCCCTCACCCCCCTAGAGCCTTCCTCTTCCTCACCCCCTCACCCTCCTGGAGCCTTCCTCTTCCTCACCCCCTCCCCCCTGAGGCCTTCCTCTTCCTCCCCCCCTCACCCTCCTGGAGCCTTCCTCTTCCTCACCCCCTGTCCCCTGGAGCCTTCCTCTTCCTCCCCCCCTCACCCTCCTGGAGCCTTCCTCTTCCTCACCCACTCACTCTCCTGGAGCCTTCCTCACCCCCCTGGAGCCTTCCTCTTCCTCCCACCCTCACCCTCCTGGAGCCTTCCTCTTCCTCGCCCTTCCTGAGCCTTCCTCTTCCTCCCCCCTCACCCCCCTGGAGCCTTCCTCTTCTTCACCCACTCACTCTCCTGGAGCCTTCCTCACCCCCCTGGAGCCTTCCTCTTCTTCCCCCCCTCACCCCCCTGGAGCCTTCCTCTTCCTCACCCTTCCTGAGCCTTCCTCCTCCTCTGTTCCATAGGTGCTGATCGGGGACGAGCCGCCCCCGGGCATGGAGAACCTGCTCGAGGTGAACGTCCCGGAGGAGGTGGAGCAGCAGCTCCAGCGCCTGGACCGGGAGGAAGAGGAGCAGCGGTGGTGGGAGGAAGACCGGGAGCAGGAGCAGGACCGGGAGCAGGACCGGGAGCGGGAGCAGGAGCAGAACCGGGACCGGGAGCCGGAGCCACAAGGGTCCCCCCGGTGACACTGGGTCACCCTCAGCATCCCTTGGGTTGACAACGTGGGGACCCCTCTTTGGGCTCCTGCAGGGCAGGGCCCCCCCTTTGCCCCCTCCGATGGGGTGAGCCTGCAGTGTGGTGCTGGGGGTCAGGAGGGGGCTGGTGCCCCCTGCCCAGCGCTGTGGGGCTGGGCCCCCACATCTGGACCCACACAACGTGCCTTGAGGAATAAAAGGTTTCCAGCCCCGGCCCGCCGTGAAGCCCCTTGTGATGTCCCTCATTCCCCCTCCCTCGCCGCCCCCCAGCAGCCCTATGGCGTCCCGCTGTGCCCCACAGCTCTGGGGGGACTCCATAGGAGGGAGCTGGGGTCCAAGGAGCACACCCTGGGGGGGACCCCCTGTGTGCAGGACACCCCATGTGGGATGGGGTCCCCCTGGTGAGCGCTGGGGTCAGGGGGGAGTGGGCTCCATGTGGGGTGCAGCTCTGTGGGCACCCAGGAAGAGCAGTGTGCCCCACATGTGGCCCCCACGTCCACACTGCCCTTGGGGCTCAGCACCCATGGTGGGACCCACCTTGGGGCATGCCAAGAGCTGGGGGAAGTGACTCCCCCCCCATATCAGGGCACCCCAGGGGAGACTGGGGGGGGGGGGGGTCCCATCTATGGGACACCGCTGGGTGTGGGTCTTGGATGGGGTGCAGGGCACCCATGGGTGGGGGTCCCCACTATGGGACAGAGCTGGGTGCAGGTCTTGGTGGCCATGGATGAACCTGGGTGGGGGTCCCTGTGTGTAGGACACCCATGGGTAGCGTGTCGTGACCCTTTGGGGGCTCAGTGTTGGGGTCCCCATCTATGGGACACCGCTGCGTGGGGTCCCCACTGTGTGCCCCACGGGGCTGGGGACCCCCATTTGCACGATGTGGGTCTTTGTCCATGGGGCTCAGTACCTTGGGTAAGGGTTCCCCATTGTGTGACAGCCATGGCATGGGGGTCAGGGCTGTCTGGGGGGGTTCCCCTTGATGGCTATGGAAGCGCTTTTTTGGGGGTCCCTATTGCGGGGCCCCCCTATAACCCCGCATTCCCCAATGGGTGCAATGCCGTTCAGGCCCGCTAGGGAGCGCTGGTGGCGCGGTCCCCGCGCCACCAGCGCTCCCTAGCGGACCTGAACGGCATTACACCCGTGCGCAGTGGGCGTGGCTACGTAAAGGGGCGTGGCCAGCGCACCCCGGAAGCCCCGTCGAGCACCGAGCGGTGAGTGCGGGTCCCGGTGTTGCGGTGGGGGGGGAACGGGAGGGTCCATTTGTGGGGTGCGTTAAACCCCTATGGGGTTGGGGGGTTGGGGGGGGGCAAACCCCGGTGCTGCCGCCCCATAACCGGAGCTACCGGTGACCCCTAGTGTGTGTGGGGGGGGGGCGAGGCTGCTGCATCCTTGTCCCGGTTCGATGCCCCCCCCCCTTCCCCTCCGGTTTGGGGCTCTCGCTGTGTCCCGGTGTTGGGGTGAAGATGAATGCGTGTTAATGGGGCACCCCCCCCCCCCCCCCGCATTTACCCCATTGGGGGGGGGATTGGGGTCCCAGGTCCGTTTATCCCAGTGGGAAGGCGATGGCCATGGTTGGAAGGGGAAGGAAACGTGCTTGGGCAAGGTCACCCCCTTGGCCACCCCTTTGGCCACCCCCTTGGCCACCCCTTTGGTCACCCTCTTGGCCACCCCTTTGGCCATCCCTTTGGTCACCCTCTTGGCCACCCCTTTGGCCATCCCCTTGGCCATCCTCTTGGCCAACCTCCTTGGCCACCCCCTTGGCCATCCCCTTGGCCACCCCTTTGGCCATCCCTTTGGCCACCCTCTTGGCCACCCCTTTGGCCAACCTCTTGGCCAACATCCGTGACCGCCTCTTTGGCCAATCTCTTGGCCACCCTCTTGACCACCTCCTTCTCCACCCCTTTGGCCACGCTCTTGACCAGCATCTTGGCCAACCTCTTAACTACCCCCTTGGCCATCCCCTTGGCCATCCCCTTGGCCATCCCCTTGGCCATCCCCTTGGCCATCTCCTTGTCCAGCCTCTTATCCAGCCTCTTGCCCACCCCTTGACCAAGCTCTTGGCCAACCTCTTAACTAACCTCTTGGGCAACCCCTTTGTCAAGCTCTTGGCCATCCTCTTAACTAACCCCTTGGGCAACCTCTTGGCCACCCTTTCGCCACCCCCTTGACCAAGCTCTTGGCCAACCCCGTAACCATCCCCTTGGCCACCCTTTTGGCCAACCCCTTGACCAACATCTTGCCCACTTTGGGCCCAGCTGCCCGCGCTGGTGAGGGCCCCGTAGGCAGAGCTGGGCTTGGGTCAGTGGGGAACATCTTCAGTGCCCCCTCCCAAACCTTCCTTCACCAAACACCTGCCCGGGCTGGAGCTGGGGGGCCATGGGGGCTGAGCTGGGGGGTGATGGGGGCTGAGCTGGGTGATGGGGGCTGAGCTGGGCGATGGGGGCTGAGCTGGGTGATGGGGGCTGAGCTGGGGGGCGATGGGGGCTGAGCTGGGTGATGGGGGCTGAGCCGGGTGATGGGGGCTGAGCTGGGTGATGGGGGCTGAGCCGGGTGATGGGGGCTGAGCTGGGTGATGGGGGCTGAGCCGGGTGATGGGGGCTGAGCTGGGTGATGGGGGCTGAGCCGGGTGATGGGGGCTGAGCTGGGTGATGGGGGCTGAGCTGGGTGATGGGGGCTGAGCCGGGTGATGGGGGCTGAGCCGGGTGATGGGGGCTGAGCTGGGTCCTGGGAACTTCTCCCGTTTCCTCATGGGTTTGGAGACATCACCCCCCCATGGCCATCACCCCCCATGGCCATCACCCCCCATGGCCATCACCCCTCATGGCCATCACCCCCCATGCTCAGCACCCCCCCATGCTCAGCACCCCCATGGCCATCACCCCCCATGGCCATCACCCCCCATGGCCATCACCCCCCATGGCCATCACCCCCCATGCTCAGCACCCCCATGGCCATCGCCCTGTGCTGGGTCCCGTTGCTGCCGTTGGGGTGCGCACCCCCCCCCCCGGTGCGATCCCCCCGGTTCTCCTCATGGGATCCTCCCCCCTCGTGCAGGCTCCGGGCCGGGCTCCGGCCGCCTCCCCGCTCCCTAGGGCCGGGCCCGGATGGGAGCTCCGCTGCCCGCCCGCCTCGGGGACCCGGAGCCGTGGGGCTGCTCCTGCCCCTGCTGCTTCTCACGAGCCCGGCGCGGCACCCGCTGAAGATAGGGACCCCAGGGAGCGCCGGGATCCATCCCCACGGAGCCGCCGACCTCCTGCTGCTGCTGGGGACCCTGCGGACGCGGAGCATGATGGAGTCGCGCATCAGGCGTGAGTGCCGGGGGCAGCCGGAGCGTGGCGATGGGAGCAGGGAGCCGTTTTCCATCCCAGCCCGCGTCCGTTTTGCCCCGGACAGGAGCCCCTGGGGTCCCAGCCTGGATCCCCCGCGGATGCTCCGCTGGAGCTCATTTTAATCAGGGAACTGTTGGGTGGTTTAATGAAGCCACGGCAAGGGCCCAGGGGTCCCCTGGCACCGCCTCGCGTGGGTGCCAACGTGACTGTGGCAGAGCAGCTCCACAGCCCCACGTGGAAAACGATGCCCCCCGATCCGCATCCCCTCCCGGTGCCACCTCCGGCCGCTTGGAGCCGTTCCCCTCATCCCGTCCCTGCCTCCCTTGGCCCAAAGCCCCTCTCCCGGTTTGCTGCGGCCCCTCCGGGCACCGGAGCTGCTGGAGGGTCGAGGCAGCGCCAAGAAGGACTCCAAAGGGATTTGTTTCAGTTCTCACCTGAGCCCGGGGGGCAGCAGGGAATTAACTGGAGCTGGAACCTTCCTCCTCGCCTGGGTTTAACTGGGTTGGAGCCTTGAGCTGCTGCGAGGGCTGGAGCGGCTCTGCCCTGGAGCCAGGCTGGGAGAGCTGGGCTGGGGCAGCCTGGGGAAGGGAAGGGTCCTGAAGGGGAGAGCTGAGAGCAGCTCCGGTGCCTGAAGGGGCTGCAGGGAGCCTTGGGACAAGGGAGGCAGGGATGGGAGGAGGAGGAAGAGGGAAGAGTTGATGGGAGCTTGGGGAGTTCTTCCCCATGGCAGGGGTTGAAGGGAGAGGTTTGGGATGCTCCATCCCTGGCAGTGCTCAAGGGCAGCTTGGACACAGGGGCTCGGAGCACCCTGCTCCAGGGGAAGGGGTCCCTGCCCGTGGCAGTGGCTGGAATTGGATCAGCTTTAAGGTCCCTTCCTCGCACCCCATTCCGTGGTTCCACGATGGTGTCTGTTCACCCTCAGAGAGCTTCATCCAGTGCTGGGGTCCACCCGATGGCCGTGGGGCTCCTCCAGCCCCTCCAGGCCATGCCCGTGGTGGGTCTCCTGCTGCGTCAGCCCTCCTCAACGGGTGCCAGCCCTGCTCGGAGCCCTCAGTGGGGTAAACCCTAGAGGCAGGTTCACCTTGGAATGATGCTGAGCGGGGTCCATAGCCCCGCAGGGACCAGCCTGCTTTGAGGGATGCTGGGGAGCGAGCCCTTGGGACCCAGGGATGGGCTCCGGGCAGCGGAGCCTGGAGCAGGGTTTGGTGGGAGCCGCTTGGGGCGGCCCCATGGGGGACGCCGGAGCCCGATGGAGCTGCTCGGGGGCCGTCAGCGCGGCGCGGGGCGCTTGGGGCTCAGCCCCGTGCCTTGCTCAGGGCTCGCCACGACGCTGATGGACGCCACGACGGACAAGGCCCCGCAGGTGCAGGAGCAGATCTACAGCGCGCTCTGCTCGCTGGGCGCCGCGGAGCCCGAGGAGCTCCTGCACTGCTGCGACGAGTACCTGCGGCAGCACGACAAGGTGGGAGCTGCAGGGTTGGGGGGGGCACACGCGGCACGTGGGGCTGCCCCATGGCTGGCAGGGCTCGAGGCTGGGGCGGACGCAGCGGCTCGGAGCGCCCCGCTCCAGGGGAGGGGGTCCCTGGCCGGGGTTGGAGCTGGGGCAGCTTTAAGCCCCCTTCATCCCAACCCGTCCCGTGGCTCCAGCAAGCGACGGCGCTGGTCCCGTTGTGGAGGAGCGGGTGCTGGCGTTGCCTTTCCCTGCCTGGCGGAGGTGGCAGCGGTCACCTGCCCGCTCTCCCTCCCCTCCAGCTGGCCTACCCGCACCGGGTCATCATCCTGAAGGCCATGGAGACCGTGGTGAAGAACAGCATCGCCCTCCTGGACAAAAGCACGGCGAAGGTGGTCATCTTCCTGGCCTCCAGCGAGATGACCAAGTCAAAGGTAGGGCCTGGGACCTGCTGCTCCTCCTCTTGCTTGGGCTCCTGCTGCTGCTCCCAGTGGGCGCTGTGGGTCTGGGCTGCCCCAGTGCAGCTGTGACTGGTCCCCTTTCCCGGAGGGAAGCCCTTGGGGTGGCGGGGGGAGCAGGGGATGGGCGATGTTCTCCTCCCTGGGGGGGGGATGAGGGTGGTTTGGCTGATGGCTCCGTCCAGCGCGGCACCCACACGCCCTACATGGGATGTGGGTGCTGAAAGGGAGCGGGGGAGGCTGCTGGGAGGTCGGGTGGGATGAGGCTGGCTTGGAGCAAGCTGCCCTGGGGACAGGTGTCCCTGCCCGTGGCAGGGCTTGGGGCTGGGCGAGCTTTGAGGCCTCTTCCATCCCAGCCCGTTCCATGGCTCCGTGGTCTCCTGGAGCAAAGAGGCTCCCCGTGGGGCCGTGCCGGCCGCAGCGTGCCCTGAGCTGCGTCCTCCCTGCGCGCAGGAGGTGGTCCGGGACTGGCAGCAGGCAGCCAGCAGCGTGCTGGTGGCCGTGGGGCAGCGCTTCATCAACAAGGTGATGGAGGAGGTGCTCACCAAGTTCCAGCCGGGGATCCTGCCCCACTACTTCGTCCTGCAGACCTTTGCCGACCTCTCTGTGTCCAACGGTGAGCCAGGGACCTGCCCCCCCGTCCGTGGGGTGCCTGCGCTGGGGCTACGGGCGCTGGCTCCAGGCAGGATGGAGGGATGCGGTGCTGTGCCCGGGTGGGACTGGGGACACTGGGAACGCACCCTGCGGTGCGGGGGGACAGCAGAGCTGGGGCTGAGCTCCTCAGTGTGCTCCTGCTTAAAAGGCTGCTGGAGCTGCTGGCCTCATCCGTGGGGAATTCCGGAGCCCGCTGGAGCCAGGCCGGATGAGGCCATGGGGCTGGAGCAGCTCTGCCCTGGAGCCAGGCTGGGGAAGAGAAGGGGAGAGCTGAGAGCAGCTCCAGGGCCTGAAGGGGCTGCAGGGAGCCTTGGGACAAGGGAGGCAGGGATGGGAGGAGGAGGAAGAGGGAAGAGTTGATGGGAGCTTGGGGAGTTCTTCCCCATGGGAGAGGTTTGGGATGCTCCATCCCTGGCAGTGCTCAAGGGCAGCTTGGACACAGGGGCTCGGAGCACCCTGCTCCAGGGGAAGGGGATGGGGTTGGAGCTGGAGCAGCTTTGAGGTCCCTTCCTCCCAACCCATCCCATGGCTCTGCATGCCCAGGCCGGGCTCTTGCCTCCAGCAGGACTCTCCGGGGCTGTTGGCATCTCCCGCCCGGCACCGTTGGGCTCCTGCCTGCGCGGTGCTGGGATTCCTTGGGGCCAGGGCCCTGCAGAGCAGCTCCTGTCCCTGTGTGTGCTCAGGGGCCTCTCCCGCTTCCCCCCCAGTGTTTGGCATGGTGCCTTTCCTCAACTCCATCCTCGGGACGATGCTGCCCATGCTGGCGATGGCCAAGCAGGACCACATGAAGGCTGTCTTCTGCTATGGTAAGGTTCTGCTGCCCTGGTCTCGGATGCGTGTTCCTCTCCCTGGAGAAGGAGGGTTTGTGGATGCCAGTGGGAACACTGAGGGACGCCTGGGAGCAGCCTGGCTCACCAGCTCCAGGTCACTGGGATCCAGCCGAGCCCTTCTCCATCTCCTACCTGATCCCAGTCGCTCCGCGGCGTAGCCCGGGGGGTGCTGGTGCGGGGATGCTCGATGTGGGGGTGTCCCGATGGGGAAGCTGGGATGTGCTGCAGGGGACCCTGCCTGCCCCTTTGCGGCCGTGGGCCTCGGCCCTGGGGCAGCGTGATTCCTGGTGGGAGCTGTGGGGCAGGCGGGATGTGGTGCTGCCGCTCAGCCCTTACCCACATCGCTTCTGGGGGTGACGCTTGTGAGGGCTGATGGGGTGCCCCCTCCTCCAGCCTGGGCTTCCTGCGGGGCTCAAGGAGCAGCCCCAGCATGGATGGAGCCAGCCCCTGTGCCAGGGTGTCCCTGGGGCTCCAGCCGGAGCTGCTTCACCAGCCCCAGGCCATGGGGGGGTCCTGGCCCTGCTGGCTTGGTGCTTGATCCCGGCTGGGATGCGCAGTGAGAGCACCGGGGGCTCATCCGTACCCGGGGAGCCGGTGCTGGCCCCGAGCTGCTGGGGCAGTGACACCGGAGGGAAGGGCTGGGATCAGGGGGGCTGCGCAGGCTGGAGAGGTGGGAACGTCCCGGGGCTCAGCCAGGCCAAGGGCAAGGTCCTGGCCCTGGCTCGGGGCAGCCCCAGCGCGGATCCAGGCTGGGGGAGCCTGAGGAGCAGGACCTGGGGTGCGGGGGGGGAGATGCTCAACACGACCCCATGGCTGGCAGTGCTCAGGGCCAGGCTGGATGCAGCTGGGAGCACCCTGCTCCAGGGGAAGGGGTCCCTGCCCGGGCAGGGCTTGGACTGGAGGAGCTTTGAGGTCCCCTCATCCCAGGCCAGGCTGGGGTTCTGTGCACGCTGCCCATTGCCCTGCGCCCACCCGGCCCTGGGCTCGTGCAGGTCTCTTGGGGATGCTTCTGGTTGATGTTTTCCCTCCTCAAGCCGAGAACCTGGACCGAAACAAGGGGCTTTGAGCCCAGCCCGGGGATGGGGTGGGAGCGGAGCCTGGAGGGGGTCAGGTGCTGGGGTGAGCCGGGCACCCCCTGCACCCCTCTGCTGCATCAGTGCCTGGTGTTCCGTGCCTCCGGGGGCTGCCCCCTCCAGCCCTCCCCATAGCCTGAGCCGTGGGGGAGACGGGGAGGGGGGCAGCCCCCAAAGCGGGGCTGAGCCCTGGGGGTGCTGCTGCTCCGGCCCCGGCTGTGCTGGTGCGGTGCCAGCCGGATGGAGCCGTGTGCCCGATCGGGCTGCGGGAAGAGGTCAGGGAGTGACTCAGCACCTCGGAGCTGCGGCTCCACATGGACCGGGGAGGGGGGGAGCGGCTGCTCCTGTCCCCTTCCTCCTCCTCCTCCTCCTCCTCCTCCTCCGGGTGTGCTCACGTGGGTGCATCGGGCTCAGTGACCCCCATTGCTGGTGTCTCCTTGGGCCCTTTGGCACTCCTGGATGGTCCCACAGGAGCCCCCCTGCAGCCGGAGCGGGGCCCCTGAGCCCCTCCTGTGCCCCCATGGTCCTGATGGAGCCAGGCCTGCGCCGGGGGAGCTCCAGCGGTGCCCCTGCCCCGAGCAGGATGCGATCCCCCCCATCCACACCTCCTGCTTCACCCCTCGTGGGTCCTGCTCGGGTGCTCGGTGGTGATGGGCTCTGGGTCCTGCTCGGGTGCTCGGTGGTGATGGGCTCTGGGTCCTGCTCTGCTGCTCGGTGGTGATGGGCTCCGGGTCCTGCTCGGGTGCTCGGTGGTGATGGGCTCTGGGTCCTGCTCTGCTGCTCGGTGGTGATGGGCTCCGGGTCCTGCTCTGCTGCTAGGTGGTGATGGGCTCTGGGTCCCGCTCGGGTGCTCGGTGGTGATGGGCTCTGGGTCCTGCTCTGCTGCTCGGTGGTGATGGGCTCTGGGTCCCGCTCGGGTGCTCGGTGGTGATGGGCTCTGGGTCCTGCTCGGGTGCTCGGTGGTGATGGGCTCTGAGTCCTGCTCTGCTGCTCGGTGGTGATGGGCTCTGGGTCCTGCTCTGGTGCTCGGTGGTGATGGGCTCTGGGTCCTGCTCGGGTGCTCGGTGGTGATGGGCTCTGGGTCCTGCTCTGCTGCTCGGTGGTGATGGGCTCTGGGTCCTGCTCTGGTGCTCGGTGGTGATGGGCTCTGGGTCCTGCTCTGGTGCTCGGTGGTGATGGGCTCTGGGTCCTGCTCTGGTGCTCGGTGGTGATGGGTTCTGGGTCCTGCTCTGCTGCTCGGTGGTGATGGGCTCTGGGTCCCGCTCTGCTGCTCGGTGGTGATGGGCTCTGGGTCCTGCTCTGCTGCTCGGTGGTGATGGGCTCTGGGTCCTGCTCAGGTGCTCAGTGGTGATGGGCTCTGGGTCCTGCTCTGCTGCTCGGTGGTGATGGGCTCTGGGTCCTGCTCTGCTGCTCCGTGGTGATGGGCTCTGGGTCCTGCTCTGCTGCTCGGTGGTGATGGGCTCTGGGTCCTGCTCTGCTGCTCGGTGGTGATGGGCTCTGGGTCCTGCTCTGCTGCTCGGTGGTGATGGGCTCCGGGTCCTGCTCTGCTGCTCGGTGGTGATGGGCTCTGGGTCCTGCTCTGCTGCTCGGTGGTGATGGGCTCTGGGTCCTGCTCTGCTGCTCGGTGGTGATGGGTTCTGGGTCCTGCTCTGCTGCTCGGTGGTGATGGGCTCTGGGTCCTGCTCTGCTGCTCGGTTTTGATGGGCTCTGGGTCCTGCTCGGGTGCTCGGTGGTGATGGGCTCTGGGTCCTGCTCTGCTGCTCGGTGGTGATGGGCTCTGGGTCCTGCTCGGGTGCTCGGTGGTGATGGGCTCTGGGTCCTGCTCTGCTGCTCGGTGGTGATGGGCTCTGGGTCCTGCTCTGCTGCTCGGTGGTGATGGGCTCTGGGTCCTGCTCGGGTGCTCGGTGGTGATGGGCTCTGGGTCCTGCTCGGGTGCTCGGTGGTGATGGGCTCTGGGTCCCGCTCTGGTGCTCGGTGGTGATGGGCTCTGGGTCCTGCTCTGCTGCTCGGTGGTGATGGGCTCTGGGTCCCGCTCTGCTGCTCGGTGGTGATGGGCTCTGGGTCCTGCTCTGCTGCTCGGTGGTGATGGGCTCTGGGTCCTGCTCTCCTGCTCGGTGGTGATGGGCTCTGGGTCCTGCTCTGCTGCTCGGTGGTGATGGGCTCTGGGTCCTGCTCTGCTGCTCGGTGGTGATGGGCTCTGGGTCCTGCTCTGCTGCTCCGTGGTGATGGGCTCTGGGTCCTGCTCGGGTGCTCCGTGGTGATGGGCTCTGGGTCCTGCTCGGGTGCTCGGTGGTGATGGGCTCTGGGTCCTGCTCTGCTGCTCCGTGGTGATGGGCTCTGGGTCCTGCTCGGGTGCTCTGTGGTGATGGGCTCTGGGTCCTGCTCTGCTGCTCGGTGGTGATGGGCTCTGGGTCCTGCTCGGGTGCTCGGTGGTGATGGGCTCTGGGTCCTGCTCTGCTGCTCCGTGGTGATGGGCTCTGGGTCCTGCTCGGGTGCTCTGTGGTGATGGGCTCTGGGTCCTGCTCTGCTGCTCGGTGGTGATGGGCTCTGGGTCCTGCTCGGGTGCTCGGTGGTGATGGGTTCTGGGTCCTGCTCTGGTGCTCGGTGGTGATGGGCTCTGGGTCCTGCTCTGCTGCTCGGTGGTGATGGGCTCCGGGTCCTGCTCGGGTGCTCGGTGGTGATGGGCTCTGGGTCCTGCTCGTGTGCTCGGTGGTGATGGGCTCCGGGTCCTGCTCTGCTGCTCGGTGGTGATGGGCTCTGGGTCCTGCTCGGGTGCTCCGTGGTGATGGGCTCTGGGTCCTGATGGCACCGCATGGACCCTGCGAGCCCCAGGCTGCTTCCTGCAGTGGGGACCAGAGGGACCTGGAGCCCTTGGAGTGGGTCCTGGGGGGCTGGAGCAGCTCTGCCCTGGAGCCAGGCTGGGAGCAGAGAAGGGGAGAGCTGAGAGCAGCTCCAGAGCCTGAAGGGGCTGCAGGGAGCCTTGGGACAAGGGAGGCAGGGATGGGAGGAGGAGGAAGAGGGAAGAGTTGATGGGATCCTGGGGAGTTCTTCCCCATGGCAGGGGTTGAAGGGAGAGGTCTGGGATGCTCCATCCCTGGCAGTGCTCAAGGGCAGCTTGGACACAGGGGCTCGGAGCACCCTGCTCCAGGGGAAGGGGTCCCTGCCCATGGCAGGGTCTGGAGCAGCTTTAAGATCCCTTCATCCCAACCCATCCCCTGGTTCTATGAAGTAAAACACGGGGGTGTTTTCAGCCCTTGGGTGCTTCCAGCTCTGACCTTTTCCTGCTGTTTCGCAATGTCTTGGCTGCCCCAGGAACCCCACAAAGCTTCAGGGAATGTGACAAAAGCCTGGAGAGCCCCATAAAGCCCTGGAGAGCCCCATAAAGCCCTGGAGAACCCCATAAAGCCCTGGAGAGCCCCATAAAGCCCTGCAGAACCCCATAAAGCCCTGGAGAGCCCCATAAAGCCCTGGAGAGCCCCCTGAAGGCCTGGAGAGCCCCATAAAGCCCTGGAGAGCCCCCGGAAGGCCTGGAGAACACCATAAAGCCCTGGAGAACCCCATAAAGCCCTGGAGAGCCCCATAAAGCCCTGGAGAACCCCATAAAGCCCTGGAGAGCCCCCTGAAGGCCTGGAGAGCCCCATAAAGCCCTGGAGAACCCCATAAAGCCCTGGAGAACCCCATAAAGCCCTGGAGAACCCCATAAAGCCCTGGAGAGCCCCATAAAGCCCTGGAGAACCCCATAAAGCCCTGGAGAACCCCATAAAGCCCTGGAGAGCCCCATAAAGCCCTGGAGAGCCCCATAGAGCCCTGGAGAGCCCCTGGAGCCATGCAAAGCCGTCCTCAGGGGCTGGAGGTGGCAGATGGGTGCCCCTGCACTCTGTGGCTGAGCCCCTCATCCGAGCCAGGAGCATCCTGTGCAGGACCACGCTCTGGTCCTGGGGCCGGTCCTCAGGAGGAGCAGAGCTCGGGCTGCCATGGCTGGGATGCAGCCTCCAGGCCTGTGGTTCTTGGCCCCCCTCGCTGCTCAGCGCAGGCAGAACTAAGCCGTGGGGCAAACACAGGCTCCTGTGGGGCGCCCCATGGGGTCCCTGCGGTTGGGTGCCTGCAGTTGGCTCTGTGGGCAGGGCATCCCTCTGCTGTGGGTGCCTGCTGGGAAGGGTCCTGTCCTATCCCCATCCCTTGGGATGCTGCCGGGGAGCAGCACTGCATCACTTGGGATGCTGCCTGGGAGAGCACTGCATCCCTTGGGGTGCTGCTGGGGAGCAGCACTGCATCACTTGGGATGCTGCCAGGGAGCAGCACTGCATCCCTTGGGATGCTGCCTGGGAGAGCACTGCATCCCTTGGGATGCTGCCGGGGAGCAGCACCGCATCCCTTGGGATGCTGCCTGGGAGAGCACTGCATCACTTGGGATGCTGCCAGGGAGCAGCACTGCATCCCTTGGGATGCTGCCTGGGAGAGCACTGCATCCCTTGGGATGCTGCCTGGGGAGCAGCACTGCATCACTTGGGATGCTGCCTGGGAGAGCACTGCATCCCTTGGGGTGCTTCCAGGGAGCAGCACCGCATCCCTTGGGATGCTTCCGGGGAGCAGCACTGCATCACTTGGGATGCTGCCGGGAAGCAGCACTGCATCCCTTGGGGTGCTGCCGGGGAGCAGCACTGCATCCCTTGGGATGCTGCCGGGGAGCAGCACTGCATCCCTTGGGGTGCTTCCGGGGAGCAGCACTGCATCTCTTGGGATGCTGCCGGGGAGCAGCACCGCATCCCTTGGGATGCTGCCGGGGAGCAGCACCGCATCCCTTGGGATGCTGTTGGGGAGCAGCACTGCATCCCTTGGGATGCTGCTGGGGAGCAGCACTGCATCCCTTGGGATGCTGTCGGGGAGCAGCACCGCATCCCTTGGGATGCTGTCGGGGAGCAGCACCGCATCCCTTGGGATGCTGCCGGGGAGCAGCACTGCATCCCTTGGGGTGCTGGTGCGGCTGCAGCACCCAGTGTGCGCGGTTGGGCTCTCCCCGCAGCTCTGCAGCACTTCAGTGAGAGCATCCGGGAGTACCTGGCGCGAACCTGGATAGCTTGGGAGGCCCCCGGACCTCCAGCCGGTCAGGAAAGACACGTTCTCCAACGAGATCTTCAGTGCCTACGAGGTGCTCTTCAGCAGCTGGCTGCAGCACCGCGAGGCCAAGGTGATGGGCGCTGCGGTTCTCACTCGGGACGATGCCCTTGGGGCGTCGCAGCT